ATAATAAGGTTCTAATGGAAACTAAAATCAATGTTGAATTTGAAAACTTCAATGAATGAATCCCACATTTATTTTTCTTTTCTTTTTTTTTCTTTTTTTTTTAAAAAACATGAGAGCAAATCAGAGAACAGGGCACACAGGAGGAGTGTTTATGTGGTCCATGGAAGTGAAAGTGACTAACACCAACCAAGCAGACACAAAACTCAGGTCCCACAGAATCAGGCACCAAGGGCAGGATGACGTGGATGTCATTCATTGGATCTCGATCGGGCACAAAGAGAAACTTGTGGGACTGGGCGGAGCAGAACAAAACCCAACCGGAGACAGACATCGGGTACACCATCGTCTTCCTTAAAAACATCGAAAATTCGCAGACTTTTTGAACTCTCTTTTTCACCCATTATTTTTTTCCCCTATGATCTATATATTCCCATTTTAAAAAAGGGGCCTGAACCTCTCCGTTCCCAACCCCCTAGATTATAAAACTCGATGGCCAGAACACAAAACCCCAGAAACTCAGAGACTGACTGAGAATTTCATTTTTAAAAAACTACTAAAGAATTAAAAAGAAAATAAAAACTTACATCGTAAGTGTCCCCATTATCTGCCAGGAAATCCCATGTGATTGTGATGTTTCCATTGGGATCCAGTGGATCGTACCCATCTGCAATGATCCAACTCCACATTAACAACAGAAACCACCGAACAAAAACACACACGCACACGTGTGTTTATTAATAAACAAAAGCATGAGTATATATATCCAAGGAAGAAAGAAGAAGTAGAAGAGACGAGTGGAAAGGAGGTTGGTTTACAGGAAAGAGGCGAGAAGGAGACGAAGACGAAGACGACAAGGAAGGAGAAGAACAACAAAGTCGAAAGTTGAGCCATTGATAAGGGATCAATTGAGAAGTCACGAGAGAAATTGATTAGTATTCTCAAGAAATGGATTGGTGATGAGTTAAGAAGAAGAAGAAGAAGGTGACGGTGGAAATGGCGGCTGGGTGGGCGAGAGGCTTGGATTTACGACGCCATTTGTTTGTAGGAACGAGGTAATAATAGTTTTGCATGTCTTGTTTGGATCTGCCTCTCTTTCTAAATCACAGGAAGGACCAAAAATGAAAAAAAGAGAGTAAAACGAACGAAAACGAAAGGCTGCATTAAATGGATTCCCAATTACAGCGGATTGGGTGTCCTTAGGATTTGCCATTTCAGTGTCCCATTCAAATTCCATGTCCTTCGTCGTACTTCCGTTTACGTTTTTCCCAATTTGCCACCATTTATGGTCCCCTCCCTCCTCCCATCTATCAAATTCTCATGCTCCTCGGGAAGGGAGGGGTTTGTACTGGGAGAATTACGAGGTTAATAATTACCAAAAAATTTTAATAATAACCTCAAGAATCTATAATAATAAGTTTCAGATTCTGTAATTTTTTTTTTTGAGATCTTATTATAATTCGCTTTTGGTCTCTCGCTAAATTAAGGTTTGAACATTTAATGAGACAAAGGATGGTTGTGTAGGAAAAAAAAAGTTCTAAATATTAAAAGTTGGTTAAATTTGATTCTAAATATAACAACTCATTATATTTTATTTTTCATATTTATTCGTTATTTTCTACAACAATCTTTATAGTGATTATATATATGAAAAGGTTTTTATTCTAATATATATTATTAACATGTGTATTTTAGAAAAGACAATACTTATTTATTATAAATAACTAATTTAACAAATTTTATTAATATTTGTAAATTAATTCTAACTCCTATGCCATGGACAAGAGGTAGTACTAAGAACAAGATGTAATAGTTGTTTTGTTCTTTGTCAGTGCTAAAGAATAATTGCTTGATTCTAAACATGCCCTTACTCTCAATTTGTTTTATAAAGAAATGGAGATATTCGGCTGGCTTAAAAATAGAGAGTCCATTCTTTTTAATTTATTAATATTTATTAGGGTTAAAGATAAAAGTTAAGAAAATCTACATCATTTTCATATTTTTTTTATATCGGTAAAATAGCTAGAAATGATTTATATTAAGAATCAAAACATAAAAGGTTTGTCGCGGCGCTGGGGAGGCATCACCATAGCTAAGTGGAAGCGACCTCTTCTGGGGCTAATTCTCATGTGGTTAATGCTCTTTAGCCAGGGGGAGGTGGAGGCATGTGTACTCTCCTGCCTGGTCTGTAAAGTCGTGAAAACATGAGTTAGGTGTCCTGCCCTTAGATCGTGGGTGAGCCCGACCCCTTTCCTAAAATTTTTTCACCTTTCCTAAAAAAAACATGGAAGGGTTTGAAAGATCACTGCTGCCTAAGATTCAATTCAATGTACTACTTTTCTATTTTGTAAAATCCAGTACTACTAATATGTCATAAATTAATTTAGTAGTTAAATAATTTAGTTTTATACTTGCTATTCATATATTGAGTGTATTTACATAGAGGCATGATGTTTGAGATATTGACTGTTTATAAAATATCTATATTAAATAATAAGTCCATGTTACTGACTTGTTGTGAGACTTTTTCTACAATTTACATTCCTTTCTTAGAATCTATATTTGATATTTTTGGGGGGAAAAAAGGCATTCGAACTTTTAATTTTAAAAGCAACATTTAACTTGTTCGATATTTGATGCATATTCAAAAAACCCTAGATATTTTTGTTACGAAGTTAATTTTTGTGACATAAATTTGCATTATATTTTTAATATCGCATTAAACTAATTAAATGGATGTTATATTTGATAAGTTATTTTTTTGTCCCACACATGCATACATATATATATATAGAGAGAGAGCATGTAAAAGATGACTCATCAAAAAATAATCTATATCTTTGCCGCTTCTCATATAAAAATAAATATTTATTATGAAACCTTCATTTATTTGTGTGCGCGTGCGTGCGCACACACACACACACATATATATATAAAAGTAACTCAAAATTTTGGAGTGTAGTTAGAGGCTTGTCGCTCAATAACACCAAATATCTCTTTTAAATCCCTCTGAGATTAAGTTCAAACTTTCGGTGACAAAGGAAAAAAAAAAAAAATTAAATAGAGGAGAAGAAGGTGGTTTTAAGCGCCCAAACGGAATTAGTAAGCATTGTTGACTGTAAAGATACCAAAAACCGCAATGGAACAGATCAACATTAGCTGTTCCCACCTCTTACCTTACCATTAGTAACTAGCGATGCCTGTTTTGCATTACCACTCACATTATTTATTGGGAAAATTTTGTTTAAAGACCACAGTATAGAATTAATTTCAAAAAACTCTCAAAACTTTCTGAAATTTTACTGTAGGATCAAGGGGGCAAATTGATATTAATTCCACAAAGAAAATGATGATATTGCTCCTCATAATACTTGTTGTTGGGTGACATGTACATAGACTAATCACAGTTATAAATAAAGGTATGTATGTTGCAAATTGTCTAGTTCCACTTGTAAATAAGCTCTCCTACACTTATTCACTTATGGACACTTTCTTCAAGTGAAGGAGGTGACATATAAATGAGCTAATTCTAGTTGTAAATAAATGTATATATATTGCAAATTATTTAGTCCTACTTGCAAATGGACTCTCCCACATTTGTTTACTTATGGACACCTATTTCAGGTGGTAAAGAAACTAATTCCAATTGTAAATATATGTATGTACTACTCTGGTCCTATTTATAAGGCAGTTCCAACATGTTTCATACAGACTAAGAAAAACCTTAAACTTCATTAGCTCTCATTTAAAATTTAATGACTTTTCAACTTTATCCCTATTTAATAAATATTATACCTCATATAAACAAAGTCAACACAATAATAAATTAGGGGTAAAATTGTACATTCATGCAAAAAATTTCTCTCAGTGCCTTATAAATAGGACCAAAAAATACCTTATCTCTCTACCCTATAAATAGAACCAGAAGAGTATGTTACAAATTGTCTAGTCTCACTTGCAAATGAGCTCTCCCACTTTTATTAGGAGGGACAATAGCATCATTTTCGTTATGGAATTAATATGAATTTGTCCTTTTAGTCCTGTAATGAAGTTTCAAAAAGTTTTGGAAGTTCTTTAAAATTAATTCTATACTATGGTCCTTAAACAAAATTTTCCCTTATTTATTTATTTCACACGTTTCTAAATAAATGTAGAATCACTCTTATATTTTAAGTTAGTCAAAAGAAATTACTCTTCTGTTATTTAATGTAAAATTTAATTAGCTAATTTGAATAGATTAAAAATAATAGTTAAATTAGTTAATATATATTTTTTTAAAAACATCTTGACCATCTTTCTTAATTTTCTTCCTTCATCTCCTAATTAATTATTATTGAGAGAATAATTATAAGGCTAATTCGAGAGAAAATTGATAAACATATGAAATAGGCTCCAACATTAACTATATAATTAGGTTTTAAATTAATAATAGATATTACTTTCTACAGTCAAAACAAGCTCCTCTTTGCCCATCAGTTTGAATTGTGACCGTGTGGTTGCTGGTATTCAATTTCCGTTTTTCACTTTTCTTTCAAGAGCTGCTGTTTACATTTTTCTTTACATAAAAAAGAAAGAAGAAAAAGAACTAAACAGGAAGAAGTTTGCTGCAGAAGAAAACACAAAATATGAGCTACGCGGCTGCTATTTTTGGATTGCCTGCTAAGCATATCCTGTCTAGCACCACGGGCTATGCCTATAATATCCATGGGCACCTCAGATTCTCGCTCCTATTTATTATTACTTTTAATTTTTGTTTTGGTTTCAATTAAGTAATACAATAATTAAATTAGTTATGATTACACAGTTGAATTAGAAGACAAATGTTTACCAACCAATACATATAATCACATAGATAACATGCGCACACAAGTAATCCAAAGATATACAACAAAGCTGTCTTTTTTTTTTAATTATTGTAATAAAATTCTCTTTTTAAGGAAAAAAAAAAAGAGAATATATAACATGCATACTATTCTTATGACATCGCAACTCTTTTCCCAAAGTTTGTACACGCAGGGAAAATTCGTCCAATTAATTACCCATATATCTCAACACTAAATTGCTATAAAGATCTTGGTTTAGAAACGGTGGCCAATGATGGCCCCAAATTCATACTGTGAACATAAGGGGTTTATAAATTAAACCCTCACATGTGTCATGTAGTAGAAAGAAAATGGAAAACCAATTAACTTGCAATGACAAAACTTACTCCAATATACAATCCACAGAATGACTGGAGCTTCTGAATTCATCATTTAGACAGGGGAATCTTATAACATGCATAAATGTTACAGCAATTATTACTAACATCACACAGAAGAGCTCAAACTAACCAATGGAAGAATGTCTCAGGCTACCTTCTGCGCTTCAGTGGGCCAGTTTTGTATCCACTCTTGGTTGGTTTGCCCCAAGGAGAAACAGAGACTCTCCCATATTTTCCACTACTCTTGCTCTTGCCCTCTCCTCCACCATGAGGATGGTCTACGGGATTCATCGCCACTCCTCGAACTACAGGCCTTCGACCGAGCCACCGGCTCTGCCCAGCCTTCCTAAGCTCCCGATCTCCGTGGGTTGGATTAGACACTCTACCTATTGTAGCCCTGCAACGAGAATCAATCAACTTTGTCTTCTTTGAAGGAAGTTCAATTAAGACATATCTCGATGAAGGGTCTTTCAATATCTTTGCACAAGTCCCAGCTGATCGGACCAGTTTGCCACCTTGCCCTGGGTTCATCTCAATGTTATGAATGATTGTCCCAATTCGCATAGCTCTAAGCGGCATGCAACTCCCAATTTGTGCATTTATGTCAGAAAACATCATTTGATTCACCATTCTCTCATGTGCGCTATGAGAATTTGCATTTGCAGAACCTGTGAATGTGAATAGAAAAACAGAGAAATTTAAGGATCGATAACACATACACATGGATTTAACAGTGGAGAAAGGGGAAGAAACTACATGTTACAACTTAAATCAACATCACATTTTATGCCACACTTCTATTCTCTTGCCATTCTTCTTATTGACCACCAGGAACAAGGGTAAAATATTTTAGCTTGGCAAACCTATTCATTCTAATCTTTGCATAACATTGTAAATGCAGATATTTGTTATTTCAATACTCTAAGCAAAACAGCAAGTTATGTTTCTATTCAATTCCGCATAATCAAAATAAAAATAATATACTTTAGTTGAACGAAAATGGAAATAAATATGGATTTATGTATGCACAGTTTTTCATCATTCTAAGAAAATGGTGAGGGAAAAATCATAGAGCAAGATGGATCTAAATTATTTGAATTCGGTCTTTAAAACAGCCTATTACACAAAAATAAAAGAAATTTGCGTTGTATGTCCCAAACCTAATTCAGAATTTATCATCATTTCTACGTCACTAAAACAAAATTCAGTAGCAAGCATTACAAATTCTCCACGGTGATAGAGTTATCATCATTACAAATTTGTCCTTGGCTTAACAAGAAAATTATCTCCACGGAGAATAGAGAGCTCTAACTGGCAAGTATTACATCTAGGGTTCTGTATTCACGCGGTCGACGCCATTATACTTCTTTGAACATTTAAAAATGAAAGATGATCCTCTACTCCACATCTACAAATAAGAGAGCTAGTCAAATCCCATACGGGGGAATGGTAAAACGGGCGTTCCAGCCTTACCAGGAAAGAAAAATGTAGGGGTGGGGGGGGGGGAACCTTGAAGACCATTTTCAACCAATTCATTTTCCTTCGTCTTCACTAAAATCAGGCTAAATCCTTAGAAACTTGGTGAAAATTCAACACCTTATCACTCACTCACTCACTCTCAATACGGCATAGGCAACCATGGAGAAAATAAAGAAAGCTGTTCTACTTAATCCAGAAAAGCAGGGGAGCTCTTCATCTGGCTAAAAACCAGTTTAAATATTTAAATTCTCATTAAGAATCAACATTAACAGATGAATCATTTTGAAAAGGACGAGTACCTAAAGAGAAATTGCGAGAAGCATTGTTGAGGAATGAGAATGGCTTCAGGAGGTTGAGGTTGCCGATTCTGGAAAACGCAGACGAAGCTGCGCGAGCTCTCCACAGAGCCATGGATCTCTGCACTGTAACGAACTAGGTCATGTAATTGGAAATTAGCTTCAATTGCGATTCGGCAGGGACGAACGACGCTGGGCTTGTGGACCTCCATATCCATTTCGCCATCACCGGCCCAATCCATTTTCTCAGTTAGACTTTTTAACAAGCATAATCATTAAAGTATCATATAAAATAAAATAATTATTTAGGACCAATTTTATTTAAAAATAAAAATGTATTTTTATGAGGGAAAATTTATGGAAAATCCTCCATTACAAAATTTATTATCCTGTAAACAATTTTCCCTTTTATCAATGCTCATAACCTTTAAATCTTACTATTAATTACTTCAACTCCTCAATGAATTGAGAGACATGATTTCTTTCTTGATGAATTTTAAAAAGACAATGCAAACACTACAAATTAAAAGTAGACATTATTCCACCCCCAATACAATGAATGTATTAATTTCTCAACAATACCCAAGTTAAATAAAGAAATTACAGTTTGGGTTAGCTAGCCAAATGTTTTAGGGGATTTCATGGACATACGCCTCATCTTTTTTTCCCCCCAAATTTTAGTTTTAACCATCCATATCTTATTACTACCTCCAGTAGCTAATATAAGTACTAGTTAGAGATTTAATTTGATTTTAAATATAAGAATCTAATTTATTTTGTCTTTAATATTTATCCATTTTAGCCTCAAGTAATCCTTACGATGATTATACATGTTATATATTAAAGAGTTTAATTCCTTCAAAGAAGTAATTCTACTACACATGATTATTGATTAACAGAGGTATTCCAAGAAAGATAACATGTATTCATTACAAATAACCAACTTAACTAATTTTCCTAATATATATAAATTAGTTATCTAAATATTATATTAAGGATCAGTATTATTTTATCATTTAACATAAAAAGTTATAGCATAAAGTTTATTCCTATATGAAATCCAAGGCCTTTGATGTATGCAAACAAGTCTTTGTGACTTTATCTTCATCTTTATGTTGTTCATTTCCATAATAGTAATGTCTTCATTTTCTCCCACTCCATTATACTTACTCCTTATTTTCTCTACACAAAGTGGTGTATTAGCCATGTAATTAAACCAGTGGTTAGTCCAGACACGAGAGTGATGAACAAGATTGCTATTAATTACGTCAAGCATATGAAAACCAAAAGTCTTGTATTTTGTATATATCTCGCACATATAACTTGGATAATATATATACACGCACACAAACATTTTGAAGAACCAAGACTTTAAAATATATATATATATATGACTTAATAAAATACTACATCCGGTGCTAATTATAAGAGCTAGTTGACTAATTTGAAGAGATTAAGGAAAGAAATTAAGTTAGTTATTTGTCATAAATAGGTGTTGTCTTTCCTAAAATATCCTTACTAATAAAGTGTATTAGCTAAAACTACCATTGGTAGAAGGACTATCTTAAAAAAAATACATAAATATAAGAAACAAAGTGGATTTGGGTCTTATATTTAGAACCAAAATAAAAGTCAAACGAGGTTTTATATTAAAAATCAGAGGTAGTATAATGTAAGTCTTATATATGCATATAAATCATCTCTCCTCTCAAAATATATATATATAATATATTTAACAATAATATAAGCAAAACACTTTCAAAGCACTTATTCTATAGTTATTGTTAATTACTAATATAATATGAAAAAAAATAAAAATTAGTTTTATTAAATTCCTTTAATATTTCATTCATAGTTTTATTAAATTTCTCTAATATTTACTTTCATTCAAAATTTTTATTAAACACACATAATGCCATAAATTATTGTGTAAAAAAAAAAAAGAATCTTGATCAATTATGTTATTACATTCAATTACATGAACTTTAATTAATTAATTGTCATCATCAGGATCCACTCCTATATATGTAAACGCCTCCTTCTTCCATCTTCCTCCAAATCAAATCAAATCAAAACAAAAACTACTTAACCATCATGTCTGGAATTAACTTGAACAATAACATTCCGGTGATGGCTTTCAAGCAAGAAGTGGTCTACTTGGAGTGTCTCCATAACCATGCAGCCTCCCTCGGTAAAGTAGCCACAGATGGCTGCTTTGAGTTTCTGCAACGTAACTTAGACGATATTGTTGCCGACGACCAGCACGGTGGCTCATCGGAGGCGTTGCTTTGTGCAGTTTGCAACTGTCACAGGAACTTTCACCGGAAACAATTTGTCTATACTCCGATCATGACAATTGACACCGCGGTAACTATCCTGCCGCAGCAAAACCACCAACAGCCAAACTTTCCGGCAACTGCAGTGGCTGCTGCTGATGAGGGAAATGCGGCCGGGGAGATCAATAACGATGACAACGCTGTGGCGTTGGTGCCGCCGTCGCCGACGAGGAAGAGGAAGAGGAGGACCCAGTTCACAGATGAGCAACGGAGTCGAATGGCGAGTTTTGCAGAGAGGTTGGGTTGGAGGCTTAAGAGATCAAACAAGGAGGAGATCCTCAGTTTTTGCATGGAAATAGGGGTCAGTCGTAGGATGTTTGTTGTTTGGGTTAGCAACAACCGACCAAAAGTGGATGAACATCAAACTGATGAGTGATGAAAAGCAAATATGAAAAATCTCAAGTGATGTTTCACTAAGGGGAAAAATTTAGGTTTTTTTCTTGTTCGGTTAAGGGTTTTTTTTTTTAAAAAAAAAAAAAGAACTGTGAATATTTGAAAGTTATTTTTTTACTAAACATAATTTCAGAAGTGTTAAAAATGAGCAATTTCGTCTTTCGCGTTAAAATTGTAAGCATTAGTTTTTCAAGAGAAAAAAAACAATATTTTCTTTAATACTTCTGTAATGACATCGAGAGAGGAAAAGAACTTCTGTCCTTCGCAAATACTACTAAGATAAAAAAAAAAAAAAGACTCTTAACATTTTCTTACTGTCCTTTTTAAGTGTTTTATCTGAATAAAATATTCTTTGTGGCTGAAATGATTATTTGGTTTGTTTAAGTTATTTTTTTTAGTGTTCTTTGATTTTTCTAAGCTTTTCCCATCATCTCTTATGTTTTTTTCTTCGAAATTTTGGTTGTTTTTAAGTTTTTTTCTTAATTCTCTTACTTTACCATTCCCATGGCTCACTATCTAATGATGAGTATTCAATAACTGAAAAAAAATATGAAAGAAAGCTTAAATATCTTAATTTTAAACCACGTTTAATACAAGTGGGCAGAAAATAAGTTTAATAAAAAACCATGAAAGAAAATTTAAATATCTTAATTTTGCTAGGAATGCAACATAGATTTCCATAACTTTGTGCTTGATTTGCACACAATATATTTAATCAAATATTTTTCTTTTCCGGTTAACCTTTGGCTCAGTCATGTTGAATATCCATATCAATAAGAAATATGAAAACTATAATTGACGGCATATATCATGAACAGTGTAATTTATTTCACTTACACACACACACACACACACACATATATATATATATATATATTATGGCTTCAGTTGTAAAGAAACTAATTTTTTACTGGTAAATTAACGAATTTTCCTATCTAGGGAGTTTGTGTAAATTTAAAAATTTGTAGCAATTGATTTTTAAATTTGAATATTTAAAAGAATATATAAAGTGAGTCAATAGTTCAAGAAAATTCTATACATTAATTTTGTTATGTATTGTTCTTACCTTCTTCCCCTCTATACCTAAACTTTTCTACTTTTTTTTCCTTTAAATAAAAAATAATTGAAGATGCATGCATGTAAACAATAAGTCATGATACATCCATAATTTTTCACTTCAAAGAATCTAAATTTAATGTGAGAGATATGACTTTAAAAGAATTCAATCATGAAACGACAAAATGCAATATGACAAATCCGTTGACGTTGTAAAGATGGTCGATACATTTAGAGAGGAGATGGAGAAAGAAAAGAGTGTAATTATAAGACATATACCTCGTATCTTATTCAAATTCTCATACATTTTATAAAGTGAAGACTTCATCACCATAGTTTATATAGGATTCATTTTCACTTTATACAACTACTAGATAAAACGATTAAAAGTATTAGGTTCGTGGATCATTAGGGAGTATTTGGTGGAGCAATAACTGAACAAAATGGGGGGGGAAAAAGAACTATACAAAGAACATGGTCAAAGGTTCAATGCTCAGTCACCGAGTGAAAATATTGACTATTGAGATTCATTTTTTACCAGAGAAGTTCACTTAATGAGTTGATATAAAGAAAAAAAAAACTTGTGGAAGCAAAGAAAAAAAAAAGAAGAAAAAAGTTGCCGTAAGTTATCAGTAATGTAGGTAGTTATCTCTTTTGAAATGTGTATATATTAAATATAGATAAAATTAGAAAATTGTTATATTTTAATGGAGAGTTAATGTATTTTAAAGTTTTTCTTGGTCTGTGTGAAATATATTAGAAGTACCTTATAAATAAGACCAGAGAAGTAATGTTTTTGTATATTTTAATTAAACTATACTACCTCCAGTCCTAATTATAAAAGTTGGTTTACTAATTTGAGGAGATTAAGAGAAAAAATTAAGTTAATTATTTGTAATAAATAAGTGTTGTTTTTTTTAAAATATCATTGCTAATCAAATGTATTGGTTAGAACTATCATTATTAGAAGGACTACCTTGGAGAAAATACATAAATATAAGAACAAAATGGATTGGGGTTTTATATTTAGGACCAAAATAAAAATTAAACAAAGCCTTATATTAAGGACCGAAGGTAGTATTATCTTAAATGACCGAATTGTAAGTTGATCTCGAAGTAACTATTAACTCTTAAACGATTGTCTTGAGCGATTTAATTTTCAATTCAATAGTTTGATCCAAACTTGACATGAGTTAGATGCGTTAGGGTTTTCTTGGGATTAAGGCAGCCCGATTTATGGAAGCTCTTTTATTGTAGTGCCTTCATTTTGTTGACTATTATGATCCGTTATAGAAACGTGCACCGTAAGGAAACTCCAAATTTAAAGTTTCAGGATCAAAATATACCAACATCTTCATCATGGCGGTGGTAGTGGTGATGATGATACTAAAAAACAAATTCATGCAAAACGTGAAGTAGGTTGAGTATTTGAGATGAGTAAGGTAGTTTTATACAAATTATATATATTATATAGAAATATAGATATTTAAAATTATTAATTGAAAAATAACGCTTCGTTTGACATAAAAAGATGCCTAATTATCAAAGACGGGCAGTATTTTTGCTTCGCATAATGCCTAATTTGTATTGGAGATTATCCTCTTAATTTAAAAAAAACGCCCTTAACATGAATAATCAATAAAATTTGAAAAAGAAATTATAAATTTAAAAGATAAATTAGATTAAAATTTTATATTTAAAACAAAAACAAAACATCTGCCTTTAATGGCTATTATATTTAGTATACTAAGAATTATCATAATACCTCTGATTCTTAATATAAGAGCATGCTTGATTTTTATGTTGATCATAAATATAAGACCCCAATTAATTTTATCTTTCATATTTATTTATTTTTTTAAGATAGTCTCTGTAATAATGGTAGTTTTAACTAATACAGTTAATTAACAAGGATATTTGAAAAAAGATAACAACTATTTATTACAAATAACTGACTTAACTAATTTTCTTAATCTACTCAAATTAGTCAACTAAATGTTATATTAAAGACCGAAAGTAGTATTATATAATATATTATCACAAAATGAAAATGAACCAATCTCGCTTCGCATTTGTTTCTTACCATTCAGAATGCAACCTTTAGCCCATCATTTTCGGTTCCATGATTACTTTATGTTCTTGTTCTATTCTAGGAAAAATAAATATATAATTGAAGTGGATGTTTCATTCCACAAAGTGTTATTTTCCACGTTTAACTCATTTTTTAACCTTGCGTTACGTATCTGAATACAGTCTGCACACAAACGAGTACGACAATTCTATAAAACTATCTCTGGTCAAAAAAAAATTCTATAAAAGGATCCCCATAACAAGCACGAGAGTCCATAGCAATCAAAACCTTAGCCCTTCATCCTCTGTTCATATCTTACTGATAAGTCCTACCTTCTAAGCAGCTCATAATGTCTCTGTTCATATCTTACTGGTAAATTAACGAATTTTCCTATCTAGGGAGTTTGTGTAAATTTAAAAATTTGTAGCAATTGATTTTTAAATTTGAATATTTAAAAGAATATATAAAGTGAGTCAATAGTTCAAGAAAATTCTATACATTAATTTTGGTATGTATTGTTCTTACCTTCTTCCCCTCTATACCTAAACTTCTCTATTTTTTCCCCCTTGAATAAAAAGTAATTGAAGATGCATGCATGTAAACAATAAGTCATGATACATCCATAATTTTTCACTTCAAAGAATCTAAATTTAATGTGAGAGATATGACTTTAAAAGAATTCAATTACGAAACGACAAAATGCAATATGACGAATCTGTTGACCTTGTAAAGATGGTTGGTACATTAGAGAGAGATGAAAAAAGAAAAGAGTGCAGTAATAAGACGTATATCTCATATTTTATCAAATTCTCATACATTTTATAAAGTGAAGACTTCATCACCATAGTTTATATAGGATTCATTTTCAGTTTATACAACTATTAGATAAAACGATTAAGGGGGTGTTTGGATAAAAACCAAACCATGGTTTCAGAAGTGCTTTTACAGTTTACGAAATAAATATGTGGAGGAATTTGTCTCGTTTTATGGAAAAGTGCTTCTAAAACTATGGTTTAGAGGTTACTAAACACCCCCTAAAAGTATTAGGTTCATGGATCATTAGGGAGCGTTTGGTGGAGCAATAACAGAACAAAACGGGGAAAAAAAAGAACTATACAAAGAACATGATCAAAGGTTCAATGCTCAGTCACTGAATGAAAATACTGACTATTGAGATTCATTTTTTACCAGAGAGGTTCACTTAATGAGTTGATATTTAAAAAAAAAAAAACTTGTGGAAGCAAAGTAAAAAAAGAAGAAAAAAGTTGTGGGAGACATAGAATTTTAAAAACATAGTTGATTTTTTTTTAAAGTTGACTACTTAATCAGCAGATAGCTGTAAGAAAAGATTTTTAAATGCATAATTAATATTTTTTTAAGTTGACCTAAAAAAGTTTAATTTATGGAAAGGTTGTTGAAGTACATAGATAAAGGAGTCATACTCCTATCTGTATTCAACTCATGAGATTTGATTTTCAAAGAATTTAATTACAAAAAACAACATAGAACAATGAGAAGGTTTGACATTCAACCCTTAAATTAAAATTTTTTAGTTTTTACTCAACTTTAAATAATTAAAAATATGAAAGATAATTGTAAAAAAAATATTTAAGCCTACTAGTGAAAAATTTTAAAAACTTATTATTAAAAAATGTTAGTGGAGGTTACCAAAAATATAGAAGATGAATACTGAAAATATGTGAAAAACAAGTGATAAAAAAACTTAACTCAGAAAATATTTTAACAAAAAAATTACACCAAAAAATTACTTTGGCAGGTTAAGTGCTACCAAAAAATATTTTTTGGTGTTGGATGCATATTCACTTAAAGGATTTTTTTTTTTGGAAGTTAACGCCGGAATTAAAAATGCTCTTAAAAAAGTACTTCAAGGGCAAAATTACTCCCAAAAAAATACTTTTAAAATTAGAATTGCAACATAAAATGTTTTAAAATGTTATATGAAAACACTTCAGGTGCTCAATAAAACTTAATCCTAGACCAAATTGTTCAAGATTAAAGGGGTAAAAAACAATTTTGACAAGGCAAACATAATAAAACCATACCTGCAAAAGCTTATTTTCATGAGATAATTAGATTAGGTTTTGAAAATAATCACTTTCTTAAAATGTACTAAGTTGTTAGAATGAGTTGAAAACAGATTTTCTTAACTAATCTAACTTATGGTTGTTTATCGTTTAACTTGTCACAATCACTTTTTTTAATCTTAACAAACTAGCTCAGGTGATTAAAGCAAGGTTTAAACCCTTATCATATAGCCAATAAAAAAATAATTAGAAGAAAAACAAGTAAAGATCGCAATACAAGTTCTCCTTGTGTAAACTAGCTGGAAGATAAGCACAAGGCAAGCTACCCCATGCCAAAAGATGAAGTCAGCAACCCTCATATTTTGTAAGTTGCTATTTTAGAATAGCATCATCGCCTTACAAGAATGTGTGACCTTCTATAAGAGATTTGTTAAACCATTAATTTTTTTTTTTTCACTGGGGACAGGTAATATTTTTTTTATAGACAATTATGTTCAAAACACCTCTATTAATTCTTATGTAGGAAATTAACCATTTCTGTTAGACTCAAGTACCACTTATTTAACTTATGGGTTGAGTACTAGTATTGATCTCAAAAATATATACGTGTTATAATGTCCAAAAATTAAGAATGTCCATCATTATTCTAATCCTATATATAAGCTTCGCTTTTGGAGAAAAGTCCGGTCCAAAATAAAAACTTCATTTTTTAGCTTGTCTAAGCATTTATTACTTTTTTACCTATTTTTCCTTTAGTTGATTGTATTTAGGATTCCCTGTCTCTAATTAATATTACCCTCATATATTCTCTTTTATCATTATTTTTATTTATTGCCCCTCTCATTTACTCTCTTAATAAATAAATTTGAAAGAAAAAAAAAATACATTTCTGACTTATTTACTAATTTTAACTAATTCTAACTGTTAGTTGTTAAATATGATTCAGTTATTTGAAACTCATATATACAACTAGAGAAAGTAACAGGTGGCTTTGGATTGAGTGCTGTTGGTCTACATCAAACACGGAACACATTAATTAGAGTAAAGCGGAAGAGCGCCCTCAAAAAAAAAAAAAAACAGTTATAGAATTAAGCTACACAAAGATACTGGGATCAACAGGAAAACCATATTATATTACTGCTCCAAAAATATACAGGGCATACAATAGATTACCCACGCCAGGAGCAAATAGTGAAACTTAGAAAGGTAAAAATGACAATGAAAAAAAATGTTTCACAAAAGACCACCTAAGTTCAGTCTTCGTATTCTGTTTCTTCATCATCATCCTCGTTGTTTCCTGCATATCTCCAACCATCTTCAACGTTGTCTCGATCTTCCTCTGTTTCTTCACTGTCTTCTTCCTCGTAGTTTTCTTCTTTCACCGGCCAAGGTTTCTTAATCACCTTCATAGGGGTTACAGAAGAGGGTGTTGACGTTGCTTTGCGCCGGGCAATTTTTGTTGGAGGCAACTTCAAGTTTGGTTTGGCCTTACTTTGCTTCTGAATCCTACCATTTGACCTTTTGCCACCATAGGCATCTTGATCGCTTGCTTCATCTAATTCGTTGTCAGCATTGTTATTAGCCTGAGCATTCTCTGCAACATTTTCATCACCATGCCCAGGATGCTCCCTCTTCAAATGGAGTTTAAGTTTATATTCATGGATATAGGCCTTTTCACACCCTTCATAAGGACAAACAAACGGACGATCAGACGATGCAGAAGCATAAGCACCCCCAGAAGGTTTCGCAGCTTTTGTCGGCTTCTCGGCAGGTGGAGTATTATACTTTGTCCCATTGGGATCTACAGATCCATTCTGTAAGAACAAAAATGAAAATTTTATTGTTCCGAAATCTCTTGTATAATTCAACGTTTCTACATGCTTAACTTCATCCAAAACTGGAGCAGTCATAGTTTTTAACATCCACATCTTGCAGGAGGAACGATCATGAGTATCGTATAGGGACTAAACCAGCTTGACACATGGAATGTGAAGATATAGAAACAGAATTAAAACTAAAAATAAAATAAAAAGTGATTTTGAATATAGCAGATCAGTTTGGCTCCCTACTAAACAAGGCACCAGGGCACTCTAGATCCTGCCTAGCCCCAAACAGAAGAACTGGATGCATCATCATACTCAGGCCCATGTGGGCAACAAATTTAGAACTCAGCCCCATTCTCATTTAATCCCCACATCCATACAATTTCCAAAAGTAAATTAGAGTTGGATATTTTTTGTGTCCACATTATGACCCTGCCAAAATCTATCTTGCAAAAAAAATTGAAACTAACAGTACAAAAAGGCCTTAAATATCAACTATGTACTTGGTTGGGATCACATTCCCACACAAAAGCATTTATTTACGTAAACTAAGACAAGCCCTTTCTCACATACTGACTTCATATTCCGTAAAGCACAGTTAAAAAACTACTTTTGAAAGATCCTAACGTCATGTCAAACAAGCATTATATAATCCAAGGAGATTTATATTTAAAAAATTGTCTTTATACCATCCAGTTGACTTGGGCTCATTTATTAATCCTTTCACCCAGACCCAAGCAGATAAATTGTGCAAGTAACCATTGATAACAGTATCATGCCATCCACTTGTAAAGGTATCAATTCTACGATACACACAAATCGAGCATAATTGGGTCATGTTAATGACTAGCCAAATAAAATTGAAAAGAAAAAAGAAAAGAAGAAAGCCAGACATGCAATTATTAGCATAAGCTATTGTGTATGGATTCAATGGTCGAGGAATAATAGTAAGAGATAGCCCAACCTTTTCATGGTGTGCTGCAATGTGATTTTTAAGCTTGTATTCATGAGCATATCTCTTCCCACAATCTGGGTATTTGCAGACATGGTAGTTCTCATGTGAATGTGTTTTCATGTGAGACTTTAGGTTGAAATCGAGGGAGAAGGCCTGCAAATACATGTTGTGACAAGATGTTATGGGCACAAAAACATTCGCATAAAGGCCTTATATGAAGCAATATACAATATCGGAGCTCATGAAAGGCTAATACAGAGAATATAAATCAGGGAACTTTCACAAAAGGATACTTTATCTAGTCACAAGATTTGAACTGCAACACTTTTAGATGTATTTGAAAAATAAATAAACAAATACACGCTGCCAAAATATTGTGAACCATAAATCAACTTCATGTCAAAGTCATTAAATAGAGCAGCTATCTCACATTTCGCAAGCACCAAATTAGAATCAGGTCACAGATCCATATAAGCAGGCACTAGAGATGAAGAAGCAGAACAATTGATTCCAACTCAGGAAAGTCTGTCCTTAGAAGAAATAAGAATAGACAATTTCAATGGATAGATTTATTACCTTACCACAGCCTTCAATGGGACATACATAAGCCCTTTCCCCAGTATGGATGAGAAAATGTCTTTTCAGCTTTGAACTATCCAGAAATTTCTGCAACAGAAAATGAATTTTTTGTAACAATGCTAATTGTAGATCTGACAGTCTGAAATATGAATAAAATCAACCAAAATATAACAAAAATGAAACCAGTAACATGCTATAAAGCTTATAACTTGACATAACTAAAGATGAATAAAACTTCTTTTCCTTTATAAAAGGAAGTAATTGTTTTCCAAAAAGTATTTCACTGTTTTTCAAAAATCTGTACAATACAACGGGTCTTTTTCTTATTAAATTACAAGATAAACAAAACCGATTGATATTTCCTAACATTGGTTTATCATTCTTTGGTACACATACTCTATGCACCAGATATTAATTGAACACAAAATCAGCTTTGCAGCTGGCTTAAATGCGGACCAAGAATTAGGGTAAAAAAATGCAGGCTTACAATATGTGCCCATGCGAGTTCACAATTTTAAAAGGATAATAATTAAAAGCAAACCACCTTTCCACAACCCTCATAGTGACAGACAAATTGTCTTTCTCCATGGATGTGAGAATGTTTTCTCAAAGCACCAGCATCTATAAAAGTTTTCCCACAGCCTTCGTAGCTGCAGAGAAAAAGTACTTCGGTTGTTGGCTCAGGTTCTGGCTCAGGAACTGATGGTTCTTTTTCCTTATCCTTCAAGGCCTTTAAGGAATCCTCTAAGAAAAATAAAACAAAGAGACACTCTCAGAACCCTTAGTAAGACAACAATCACATGTGAGAAACTCATAGCACGTAATCAAGGAATACATAGAGATTTTTTAGATGCAAAACATGGTTAGACTTACTATATCAAATATGAGCAAAATGGGATCAAGAAACAGTCACATGAGACAAATTCGTAGCATGTCATCAAGGAATACATAGAGATTTTTCAGATGCAAGACATGCTTAGATTTAATATATCAGCTATAAGCAAAATAGGATCAAGAGTAAGCAAAGAAGTCATCTAAGTCTTCCAAGTAGCACGAGCACAAACCTCTTACCCATCTGAAAAGCATGCACTTCCCACCAGTGGCCACAACATCCTGGGGAACCCTGGCAGGCAAGTATATTTTTTTCTCAGCATTAGCACGCTAGACAAACTCAAATGAGCAATAAAGAACTTAAGGAAAATTGAAAAAAAGCTGAAGCACCATGACAACAAGAATAATATAGACCATACAAAGATAGGGTAAAAAAATTGCAAAAGGAAAAATAAAAAAATCGTAAATTCTCTATTTTTTTCCCTGTGACTCCTCTGCCTCCCAGATGTCTGAAAACCTTGTGTTAAAATATTGTGAACTTTGAAGATAGAAAAACGAGGTCACTAGATGGAACGTTATACAATAATTTACATTATCTATGTTTTAACATATTGCATAATTTTCCTTCTTCCTGCGACCACCACTAAAAATAAAATGTTACATGAGGGATTTAGTTTTTTTTTCTCTTCTTAATAGAGAGATTTAGTTTTCATCAAGTGATCTAAAGTTTGGCCCAAAAAATGACAATTTGTCTCCTTGGTGAAATATATGACCAATTGTCGGAACTCCAAGATAAAATTCCTTTTTTTTCCTTAGATGTCTCCAAGAGTGTATCACTTATGCCGTCTGCAGAGATACAGTAAATCCAATCTGTTTCTCAAAGATAACTTATGAAGCTGCATAGCATAGTGGCCTAAACTGACCGACAATGGCAGGTATAAACTATATATTCACCAGAATTTCTGGTGTCAAAAGCAAAAGAAAAAAAAATCAATCTGGAACAAGAAAAAATGTCCAGTTCCTAGTTCAATATCCAATTCCCATCCCAGTTTCTCGTGACCTAATAACTACTGAGAAATTTCAGTTGAGCTCCATGAACATCATTTTATTTCATCTCTTTTCAAGTCGAGTTAAACATGGAAACTAAATATGCACATGGAAAAAAAAAAATATGGGGAAAATATGATGAGATTTTTCCACAAGATTCAGACTTCGAACCCCTAAACAACATGATATGTTAATTGGCCAAAAAAAAAAAATCAACAGCACAAAACGTACAAAACAATTTGTCAAATAAACCTATAGTACCATTCTTTAACCCATTTAACGGCGGGAGTCTTAGACTTGATGATGGGATGCCTGTCGAAGAGAGTGTACTGAGTCTCCATCTCTCAGGCGCGCGCGCACACACTCTCACTCTCTCTCTCTCTCTCTGTGCTCCCCTCTTCAAAAACCTCCTGCGAGTAAAATCTCCAAAGAATATTTTTAGGGTTAGGGTAAGGTGCGAGTTTAGGAAGGAATGGACGAAGAGAGAGAAAAGGATCGACTGGAAGAAAACAGGACCATGGAGAAAGCTTGAGGATCCATGGTCGTCTTTCTCGTCTTGGATTCCACCGGACCGGACCGGACGCGTCACGGCTTACATTCATTGACCGAATTGCGCCGTGTCTGAGGTGCTTACAAAATGGGCTTATGGCCCAATATTATCATGGGCTAAATCAAGTCTTCATTTTCCAATGGGCCTATATTATCTCTTACTTTTACAGCCTCTTTAATCAATACTTTTTGTGACCAACTAACGGAAAGTATTTATAATTAATACTCATAGCCTCCAAATGCCAGCTTGGGAGTTTTCTATGATTAATACTCATAGCCTCCAATTATGTAGAGTTATTCATTGTTATAAACTCTTGAAAAGAATTTAAGCTTTTGTAGCCTATAAATAGTAGGTATGTACTAAGTGATTGTAAACTTGAAATGAATAAGAGATTACTTTGACCACTGAGGGTTGAATTTAGCAGAAGTGGTTAGTCCTTCACAATGTAACAAACTAGGATTCGAATCTTCGTTGGAAGAGGTATCCACATTTAGTGCCCGACAGTGCCTGGAATAGGATTACCTCCAATAAGAGGATACTTATGCTTTAGCAAAAAAAAAAAAAGAGATTACTCTGTGTTCCTTCTCCAATTCTCCCTTATATATCTTCTCCATCTCTCTCATCTCAATCCCTGGTTTTTTTTTTTAATTTTACAACACACACATATAAATTATAGAGCATCTAGTGGGAGTTTTTCTTTTTTCCTTTGACGTGACATTCAAACTTCAAAGTGACATTGAGAGCCAGGAGTTCATAGGGAAAAAATTAGGACGTGAGCTGCATACATGATTAATTTGCATTAATTTGTACGTGTAATTAATTTATGTAAGTATTTATGGCAAACAATTAAATAATCTTAAGATTACTTTATGAATACAAAGCAACTTTATCAAAAGGAATGATTATGAGCAGCAGAGAAGTGAGGAAATTAACAAAGAAGGAAAGGAGGAAAGAAAGAAGAGAGAGGTGTGAGAAAGTCAAACAGCTAGAAATTCGTTTCATATGTGCTTTTTAGGGGTAAATAAGGGGGATAACGGCTGTTTGCAAAACTAAATAATAAATTTAAATTTAAAACTAACTCTAATTTTATGTGGGGATCTAATTGAATTAGTAATCACAAAACATGATTCTATAAAAAGCTGCGGTTTTAATTAAATTTGATACAACAATTTTAGATGTGGAATACCAAATTGTTAAATTAATATTAAAAAAAAGAGTTTCGTTTTTTAAACTACCCAATCAAAAATTGTCTAATTTGCCAGTCAAATTTATCAATTTAATTTTTTTATAAGTCGAGTTTCATTATTTACAAATCTAACCTGCAATGTTAAATTTTGAATGACATATTAGTGTTAAATGAAATTCGGAAAACACATATGTATATAATTTTCTAAGTTATGACCTATTGATAATTTTCCCAATGTTATTCATTGCTCTGGTTAAATAAATCGGTATACTCATTACATTATTCATTGAAAATTTTCCCCTTATTATTATTCATTTGATGAAACTGATATTTAATTATCCAAATTTTGAGCCTCACCTCACCAGAAGTGCAAATTTTATAGTTGTTTACGCATGATACTTCAAGTGACAAGGGATATTTCTGTCTATTTCACATCAATATCAAATCCATCAGAACCTGCAAATAATTTTGAAATTTTTGGTTAAAAATTCTTATTAAAAAATTTAATTGATTAATAGAATATAAATTTGAGTGTGTGTAATATATCTTTAACTGTGTGCAACATATCATCAATAATATGTAACAATCATTAATATAGAATTCATTTACATACAGCGAAAAATATGTTATACTTACGAATTATACTTGCGTGCATATAAATTTAAGTCTTAGCTAATTAAATTTTTAAACAAAATTTTTTTACCAAATGTCCCAATAATTTTGGTCTTTGAGGGTTGGAATGTTTTATCCTTACGTGGCCTCAAAATCAAAAAGGAGAGGAAGAGACATTTAGGGACCTATACAAATGACGATGGACGATGAGCTCACTGCTACGTGGGCTGGGACCGGCCACATGTTAGAAAACCTCCTTCAGGATAAGGTACGGCTGCGAGCGTGTGGGCCCCACCTATAAAGAGGACATTTCACTTGCCCCCGCGCCAAATTGACTTGGCCGTCAACTGTATAATTGACGAGTGACAACCACGCGCTTAATCTGCGCCTAGCCCTGCATTTGGCGCTGGGGCCACTTCCATTATTAAAAAAATATATTAAAAAAACTATTTAAATGGTGAGCCTCTAAAAAACTACTCATTCAAATGATCAATTTGCAAATAATAAATAATTTGTTAAATTAGTTTAAAATAATAAATATATTAAAAATATAGTTTTGTTTATAAATATGATCTAAAAATAATAAAAGAGAATGTGTGAAAAAATGTGAGATTATGGCAAGAAAAGAGAATAAATAATTTAGAACAAATTTAAAAAATGCATTAAATGTTAAAATAAATCTCAAATTAAAACTTATAAAATAGAACATATTCCTCTCTAAATTTAAAACTTATAAATAAGATTGGAGGGAGCATTACTATCAAAAAAATTAGAATGACAAGTAAGTAACTATGAGAATTTTTGGTAATTATATTTTTTGAAACTAAATAGTGATTTTTTTTTTCTTGTTTCTACCCTGCTTTGCATGTTAAATATGATTTCGAGCTTTTTAACCTCTTGAGCTATCCGTTTAGTTAAAAAAAATAAAATTGTTGTAGTAATTTCATAAAATTTCTCATATTGGTGCAAATAGTTTGATCCTTAATTCTATTTATTCATTTAGATGGCCATGAAAAAGAAAGTTTACTATATTATTTGACATATTTTTGTCAATAATAAAATACCTATTTTATGTAAAAACACAAATTCTAGATTTACATGAAGAATATAAGTACACAATTCACAGTTAAATTTAAAATACAATATATATCAATGTAAAATATGAAATTTATGAAAAAGCATATTATTCATAATTTATGAACACTACAACTCCTTTTGAGTTTCGTGCAGATTATCGGTGAGCAATCTAATGTATTTTCATGCATTTTAAGGAGAAAATGACAAAAAAAGCTGTTAAGATTTAAAATAATAAATGAGTAATTTTGATAAATATTGACATATTAAAATCATTACAAGAATAATAAAAAATATTACAAAAATAATAAGTATCACATATTTATCATTTTAAAATTTAATATTTTTTGTCATCTTTTTTTTTAAATAAGGTGTTTTTATGGGCAATCTTGGAATCAAAAGCCATGTTAAAGCTGAGGCAATTTTTTTAAAGATTTGAACATTTCTAAAACTAATTTTTTTAATATATTATTCAAATAAATTGTCAAACTATTTTTTTAATAAAAATTTGCCTATACGAAAATTACCTTCTAATCCTTAATTTTAACGAGGCATCAAATTCAACGCAGGGGGATTTTGGTACCATGCAAGCTATGAATGTTGTTCTGAACTGTACGCACTGTACCAGCCAAAATAGTACCATTATTGGCAACATCATCATATAACCCCACGTGTATGACCACATCACTTTTACCTTCTTCTCTTTTACCGCCCCTTTTTATATCATTGGATCCTCAATTGTACCTTTTTTTATGTTTTTTATTACTAATCATTATTAAAAAAAAAGAGTCAAATTGGTGAAATTTGTCTGAGGCTTTTAACCAGACTAAACAATTTAAAAAAAAATCAAGGGGCAAATGTATTTATTTATTTATTTATTTATTTTCATGTTGTGAAATACTTTTAAGAAGGGGAAATAATAATAAATACGGAAAAGTGCAGAGTAGCTCTGCAAAGAATTTTCTGCCGTCACCACCTGAGATGGAACAATGGTAACCAGCACAAGTCTGCGAGCTCATGTCACTTTTGCAGCTTTACATTTTTATTTTAATATTTTCCTACGCTTTTTATTAAACAAATGTATTGTTTCATCACCATACACACAACTTAAAAACCCAGTAAATCTAGAAATTAATTAAACAAAAAAAAAAAAAGCGTAGCTCAATGTATAAGGCTTCACCCAGATAAAATCCAAGGAGTGATAGATGTGCGTGGCCTCATCCTCTTTGGCTGGCAAGGGAGTAGTCTCTAAGATTTAAACATGTAATCTCTACCTTTCGCGACAATGACCTCGTTTGGCAGAGATTACATAAATTGAGATAAAACTCTTCACACATATTTTTTCGTATTCCGTAAATCACTATTAAAAAACAGCTTGTAAACTATTTATAAAATGTTTCAAACGGGCTTATTAATCTAACTGATGTTTCTAGACTCATTATCTAAATCTAGAAATTAATAAATAGAACAAAATTCAGGAAAAAAATTAAGTTGTTTATGACACCATTTATAAAGTGAAATCTCAAATAGTTGTTTATGGCACAGGAGTGGATTAATATTAATTATGATCAAATAAGATTTGAGCATTATTATTCTATTACTTATATATGATTTAAATGGTTAAAAAATTCACCAAACTCAAAACCTTCAGGCTAAAGGGTTTTTTTGGGGGGAAAAAAGTGTACTACAGGATAGAGAGAGGGGCAGGAGGAGGAACGGAAAGAAATGAAGATGGCAAAAGTAAAACCTTTTGCTTTCAGACATTACTGCCAACACATTAAATAACACAAAACTACTCATTTCCTGACACACTCTGCCATACCCTTTATTTGTGAATGTGATCATCCCATCATTACTTTTTCATTAATTTTATTAATTTTCTCCCACAACAATGCACTTGAAATGTTAAAAGGGATGTTTGATCAGAAAATAAACCTTACTTTTAAAAATAATTTTGCAATATATAAAATAAACATATAAAAAAATTTATCTGTTTACAAAAATATACTTTTTATAATATCCAAACACCTCCTTAAAAATACTAATAAAAAATAAAACATCTTAAGAGAATATTTTTAAAGTCAAAATAAATATAA